TTATGCATGAAATTATTTGAAAGGGGAACTATTTTCCCCCTTTTTACAAAATGTAAAGTGAGTCTCTGATGTCTCTAGTGTGTGTTTGTGAAGTTTCAGCTCAAAATACCACACAAATATGGAGCTAATAATATGCCAAAACAATGGCTGTTTCTCAATACCAAGTACGCAAAGTTCGGACTTGTGTCCTTGGAAGTTCAGACTTGGAAGAACGAACTCCCGAGGATGCGAGGACACAAGTCGGGTACTTCTTCAAATGGAACGGCAGTGTACTTCGTCACTTACCTCACCATGGATTTATCAGTTTCACTGTACATCAACAATAAAATGATTTAATTAATATTATATAATAATAGGGGTGTAACGATACACTCAGCTCACGATACAATGTGTATCACGATATAATGTTCACGATTCGATATGGATCCCAATATTTGGAATAAAAATTGAAAATTAAACTGAAATGCAAATTTTATTTAAAAAATTTTTTTATTAACAAGTAAAAATTTCTTTTGTTTCAACTTGTTAAACTGAACCTTCTTTAAGAAAATAAATTAAACAGGACTGTCTCTGGAAAATAAAACAATTAAAAAACGTAGAACGTAGCTCACGTGCAAACAGCTCAACTAATAAGAGAAAACGGACGTCATATCGTAATCAAATCGTCATAAGGCCACGATGCATATTGTGACATTTTTGCATCGCAATAAATCGTACAACGATAAATCGTTACACCCCTATATATTAATATTATAAATCTACATTTTTGATTTAAGAAAATATACACATATATTCATATAAATGTGAATTAAAATGAGTTATTATACACCGAGTGTTTAATTATCAGATTTATTAAACAACAATAGTAATTATACACACAATTAGAAATAAAGACATACACGATAAGAAATAAAGATTACGTCAAACAATTTCGTAAAAGACCAACAGCGTACAACACGGTAACCTAATTAAAGACAATTATAAAAGGTAACAAAATAACAATGCCAAAATAATACACCTGAAAACAAATAATAGATTTATAAGACAAAAAACTGTCCGTTAGATATTCCCAAGATGTATTCAATATCATGTTTTAACTACAAAGGAGTGATGAGGTTCAGCGGTACATCCGAGATGGCCTGGCTGAAGTAAAGCTGCTCTGGTGGGGGAGCTGATGACGGAGGGAGTCAGAGTCCACATAAGTTGAGTCACATCGTTAAAGACGCGCTATCTTTAAATAAACTGCCTATTCGAGTTTAAAACAACTACATTCTCGCCTGAAAAACTCTTAAAACTTTATTTTGTGACACAGTAAAGGAGTATTTTTAAAACCGTGCAGGTTTCCTCCTCCACCATTAGCGCTTGCTGGTTACGCTGCAATGCATTCTGGGATATCTGAGCTTCGCAAGTTCGCACAAGTCACCTCTCGATGCATCCTTGGCCAAAGGGGCAGAGCAAGAACACATCCAGGACTTTCATCTGTACTTGGAAAGATGTGAACTTTGAATTGGAACAGTACTTTGGCGACGGTTGATGACGTTTCACGAGGACACAAGAACGCAAGTACAGACAAGAACGCATATTGAGAAACAGCCAATCTGAATTTGAATTGTGTTCATTTGAATTATTAACAGTTGTAATGTAAAGAGCCCCTATTATACATGAATTAGGGTCATATTTTGGTTGTAAGTGTCTCCAACAACAGTCTAAAATGCATGCGAGGGCAAAAAACACTTTCAAGGTCTTATAATCTGCATTTATTTTTACCTAATTATCCCAGCGACTCTCATATGATTCGTTCAGCTATTCATTTGTTCCTAAACCCCTCCTTAGCGCGAAGCTAATCTGCGCTGATTGGATCGATGACAACCTTCTGGTTCTACGTGGCTTTACACGCGATATGAGAATATAAAGAGTTAACCTGGTACCGTACATGCGGTTACAAGTAACAAAACACAATTAAATGCATAATTTGCAAGGTGGTTAAAGGAGGCAACAACTTTTATCGCACGTACTTGGGACTTCTATGGATGTGGAGGAGCAGCGGCCTCACTCCGAGCTCCTCCCGGGTGACAGAGCTTCTCACCCTATCCTAAGAGTGTGCCCTGCCACCCTGTGAAGGGAACTCATTTCAGCCGGTTGTATAGGAGATCTTGTCCTTTCAGACTTGACCCAAAGCTCATGAGAGTAGGAATGTAGATTGACCGGTTACTCGAGAGCTCTACCTTTCGGCTCAGCTTCTTCATTACCACAATAGACAGGTATATTGACCGCGTTACTGCACCAATCCGCCTGTCAATCTCACACTCCATCCTTCCCTCACTCGTGAACAAAGCCCCAAGATGTTACCACCATGGTAAGGACTTTCCTCCAACATAAATACACAGTTGGAAAAACTCTTTGCGACATGTTAATTGATAATAGCATACATTAAGGCTGATGTCGAAGTGCAAATTACTGTTTGTTTTCAGACATTCAGGCAAAGCCGATTTAAAACTTTGCACCGAATCTCCCAGAGCTCATCAGAGAGTGTGTTTGCGCTGTGTTAAGGTCATTTAGACGAGCCGCTTTGACCTTTGCGTGGCACTGTTTTTCATTACAGTTTGATTATCTTCCCCCTTGTAAAAAAAAATGACAAACTGGAAACAAAAGGCCAGCTCTGCGAGAGAAGCGCTCATGTCTGCTCTTCACGCTGATGACTGTAATTATCTTAATAAGTTCACACTGCCGTTCTCCGGAGTTCAGCACTGCAGATTTCAGCGCTGTATCGACGAAGACAACAAATGAAGCACTTTTTGTTCTGTCATCCATCAGCGTCGCTTCATTCCAGTGATCCAGACTCAACAAAGAGCTAGAAATTAGGGCTGTGCGATACTGCGAACATATGCAGTGTTGCAATATGATATTTCTTACCATACACAGCTGAATCATTGGAATATGAATAATAGCATTATTTTTCTTTTCCAATATAACAGATTCAGGAATTTCTCACAGTATTTCCTATAGTATTTGTTCTTCTGGAGAAATTCTTAATTGTTTTATTTCAGCTAGAATAAAAGCAGTTTCTAATTGTTTTATACCCATTTTAAGGTCAATATTATTCGCCCCTTTAAGCAATATTTGTTATGGATTGTCTCCAGAACAGACCACTGTTATACAATGACTTGCCTAACTTGCGGTGGCCGAGAGAACTTAACATGCTGCAATTGAGGAAAACAGATGCAATTACGAAAAACACCAGCAAAATAAGAAAAGGTCTTCAGCCGTTTGACGGCACACACATCCAAACACAAACACATTTCATAAAACACTGCATTTTCTCACAAAACAAACAAATTGATAAACAACACTGCAGTTTGTACAATGTGTATAGTGTAAATAATTAAACACAGTTGATCTTTGTTAAAGTGGCAAGCTTTAGCATTTATTGTGCCCAAAATGGTTTAGATTAGTCACAGGCCTTAAAAACACATCCAAATAATATAAATAAGATAAGATACATAATCATCCATCCATATTCACATTATTAATATTAGACATCCACCCATCCATCCATCCATCCATCCATCCATTTATTATTAATATTGGACATGCATCCATCCACCCGTCCATCCATCCATCCATCCATAGTTCAGTCGTTCAGTCTGTCATTCTGTCTACCCATCTATTCATCCATCCATCCATCCATCCAAATTCACATTAATAATATTGGATGTCCATCCATCCATCCATCCATCCATTGCTCCATCCATCCAACTTCACATTATTGATATTGGACATCCATCCATCCATCCATCCATCCATCCAACTTCACATTATTGATATTGGACATCCATCCATCCATCCATCCATCCATCCATCCATCCATCCATCCATCCAAATTCACATTATTAATATTGGACGTCCATCCATCCATAGTTCAGTCGTTCAGTCTATCATTCTGTCTACCCATCTATTTATTCATCCATCCATCCATCCATCCATCCATCCATCCAAATTTACATTAATAATATTGGATGTTCATCCATCCATCCATCCATTGCTCCATCCATCCAAACTCACATTATTACAATTGGACATCCATCCATTCATCCATCCATCCATCCCTCCATCCATCCAAATTCACATTATTAATATTGGACATCCATCCATCCATCCATCCAAATTCACATTATTAATATTGGACATCCATCCATCCCTCCATCCATCCAAATTCACATTATTATTATTATTGGACGTCCATCCATCCATAGTTCAGTCGTTCAGTCTATCATTCTGTCTACCCATATATTCATTCATCCATCCATCTATCCAAATTTACATTAATAATATTGGATGTCCATCCATCCATCCATCCAAATTTACATTATTATAATTGGACATCAATCCATCCATCCATCCATGTTCACATTATTGAAATTGGACATCCATCCATCCATCCATCCATCCAAAATCACATTATTAATATTGGACATCCATCCATCCATCCATCCAAAATCACATTATTAATATTGGACATCTATCCATCCATCCAAATTCACATTATTAATATGTACGTCACTCCATCCATCCATCCATCCATCCATTCAAATTTACATTAATATGGAACATCCATCTATCCGTCCATGTTCACATTATTGATATTGGACATCCATCTATCCATCCATCCATCCATCCTTAACCAAAGTGCTTTACACCAGTACAAACAAATTATACAACACATCTAGAAAGCACACTAGTATGCTGCACACCAGTGTGCCACATTAAACTAATTGAACATATTGCACTTCTCTGGATATTGCATATAATTTTATCGTGATGAGGATAATTTTCTGATATGTTGTGTCACCCTACACAAGTATGATGATATTGATTTGAGTCAGGGATGAAGGGGCTTGACGTGTCCCCCAGTGATTGGTTCTGCGGGTGGGTGTTTGGTCTGTGTGAATAATGTGTGATTCAGCTGTGTGTAAGTCACTGTTGTGTTCTCTCTCCCGCAGGCGTTCACTGCACGCACGGCTTCAACCGCACCGGCTTCTTAATATGTGCCTACCTGGTGGAGAAAATGGACTGGAGGTTGGTTCACAAACACAAACAGACACGAGCACTCACCTAATCAGCACATGCTGTGTACAGAATGAATGTTTTCGTCCAGTGGTGGATGAAGCACACAAATCTCAGGCACTTGCGTTAAATACAGATACCCTGATGAAACATGACTCCAGCAGAAGAGTACAGTCCTCCATTTATTAGTACAGAAGTACTTGATTTGTAATTTACTCAAAGGTCATGTGAAGTGCTTGGAAATGTGCATTTTTTTATTCGATGCTTTGCGCAATCTGAACTGAAACATGAAGAGTGGGTGGGGCATATAGTAGCTCCTCCCTTTAAAAAACAGCCAATAGCGTGTTGATTTTCTCACAGCTCTGCCAGTGACAGTGGTTGAGCTCAAGTGCATCAAATGAACAGCAAATGAGAAGAAGGGGACGGTGCATGTCAGACACTACAGTGCACCAGATTTGGTTAGAAGAGTTGATGAAAAAGGTGACGTTAAGGAAAAAGATCCATTCATTAATTTGTTTTTTTCGGCTTAGTCCCTTTATTAATCTGGGGTCGCCACAGCGGAATGAACTGCCTACTTATACAGCATATGTTTTACACATGCGCTTCCAGCTGCAACCTATCACTGTGAAGCAGCCATACACACTCATTCACACATATACACTACGGCCAGTTTAGCTTACCTAATTCCCCTACAGGAAATACCCACTGCGCCACCGCGCTGCCCTTATTATTATTGTTGTTATTTTTATTATTATTATTGTTATTATTTTTATTTTTATTATTATTATTGATATTATTTTTATAGTTCTTGTTGTTGTTGTTATTATTAATTTTATTGTTATTGTTATTATTATTGTTATTATTATTATAGTTGTTGTTATTACTATTAATATTATTATTGTTATTTTTTATAGTTGTTGTTGTTATTATTATTGTTTTTATTGGTATTATTATTATTATTATTATTGTTTTATTGTTATTGTTATTATTATTATTGTTGTTGTTATTAATATTAATATTATTATTGCTATTATTACTGTTGTTATTATTGTTGTTGTTGTTTATTATTACTATTATTATTAATATTGTTGTTTTATTATTATTATTATTTTATTCTTCTTCTTATTATTGTTATTATTATTATTGTTGTTGTTATCATCATTATTAAATTAAGCAGTACAACTTGGTTCATTATTAATATTATTAATGTATACAATTATATTATATTATAATGTAATACAATTATTAAATAATTATAATAGTGATGATGGTGATTATGATAATTAATAAATTACGCAGTATAACTGTTCATTAGTCATATTAATGCATTTCTTGTTTTAAATCCATCAATAAATAAATGCAATTAAATAATAATAATAATAATAATAATAATGATGATGATGATGATAATTAATAAATTACGCAGTACAACTGATATTATTAATGCATTTCTTGTTTTTAATAAATAAATGAATAATAAATAAATAATTACAATTATTAAATAATAATAATAATAACGATGATGATGATGATAATTAATAAATTAAGCAGTACAACATGGTTCATTATTGATATTATTAATGCATTTCTTGAGCAGACAGTCATCATATCATTATGATTTTTCTATAAATTATGAAAATGCACTGTAGCACATTTGTAAGTAATAGTTAAAGACAAGATGATTCACTTTCCTGTACAATATAAATTCTCCTTCAGATATTTCCCGAGTGATGTTCAACAGAGCAAGACTTTATTTTAGTTGGGATGAAATAAAACCCCACAGTTTTAAAAAGTTTGAAGGTCAATATTATTGGATGAAGTTGAAAGATGAAAATCAATATTACAGGCAAGGATTAACAACTCTCCCTTCATAAAGTCTGAAAATAAATCATTGAGAAGATCTGACTGAAAGTGCATCATCAGCTGAGTGACATCACAGTGCAGTGAGCTGTGACATCGCTGGTCAACCATAAACAAGCTCAGCGTGTACTCTGACTGACTGACGCGTCACATCGCAACCTGCAGGAAGAATAAGCGTGAGTGAACAGGTGCAGCGCTGGCTGTGCTCTTCACATTCCTGCAGATAAACATTAAAGCAGCTTTACCGCATCGCTGATTTCATGAAGGAATTGCTTTGCCCATAGTATCACGTAAAAGATTCCTCATGATTGAAGAGTCTTCAGATTATTAAAGTGTTCGTCACTTTTTAAGAAGAGTTTGGCTTTGGGGAATACACAACGATGGAACAAAATGTTTTAAAATCTGACATTATAGTGTTCTGCTGAACTGTAGTCAATGTAGTTTACACACAGCTCTAATAACAACAACAGCAGGCTTTTACCAAACACAAACACTCACACACAATGGGGAGAAAAACACGCTCTCTCTCTCTCTCTCTCTCTCTCACATACACATACACACACGATGCGAGTGTGTGTTTGGGATGAAAAATGTGGATGGATATAAATAATGGATAGATGAAGAAAATATGGATGGATGAGAAATGGATGAAGGGAAGGATAGATGAAAAATGGTTGGATGGACAATAAATAAATGAATTGATGGAGAGAAGGATGGATGGATGGATACATAATAAATGTAAGGGTGGATGGATGGATGAGGATGGATAGTTTATAAATGGACGAATGCATAGATGGATGGAAGAAAAGATAAGAAATGGATGAATAGATGTATAGATAGGTGGTTGGGTGTATGGCTTGATAAAAATTATGGATGTATGGATGGATAGAAGAGTGGATGGAAGCATGGATGGATGATTGAAAAATGGATGGATGGATGGATGATAAATGGATAGATGAAAAATGGATTGGTGGGCGGATAGAAGGAAGGAAGAATGGATGGATGGATGGATGGATGGATGAAAAAAGGATGTTTGATGATAGATGGACGGATGGTTAGAGGGAAGGATGGATGGATGATGGATGGATGGATGGATGAAAAATGGATGGATAGATGATAAATGGATGGATGGATACAATGATGGATGAAAAATGAATTGATGGATGGATGAAAAATGGATGGATGGATGGATGGATGAATGGATTGGAGGATGGATGGATGGATGATAGATTGATTGATTGATGGATAGAAGAATGAATGGATGGATGGATGGATGGATGAATGATGAATTGATTGATGGATGAATGAATGGATGGATGGATGGATGGATGAATGATGAATTGATTGATGGATGAATGAATGGATGGATGGATGGATGGATGAATGATGAATTGATTGATGGATGAATGAATGGATGGATGGATGGATGGATGGATGGATGGATGAATGATGAATTGATTGATGGATGAATGAATGGATGGATGGATGGATGAATGATGAATTGATTGATGGATGAATGAATGGATGGATGGATGGATGGATGAATGATGAATTGATTGATGGATGAATGGATGGATGGATGGATGGATGGATGAATGATGAATTGATTGATAAATGAATGAATGGATGGATGGATGGATGAATGATGAATTGATTGATGGATGAATGAATGGATGGATGGATGGATGAATGATGAATTGATTGATGGATGAATGAATGGATGGATGGATGGATGAATGATGAATTGATTGATGGATGAATGAATGGATGGATGGATGGATGAATGATGAATTGATTGATGGATGAATGAATGGATGGATGGATGGATGAATGATGAATTGATTGATGGATGAATGAATGGATGGATGGATGGATGGATGGATGAATGATGAATTGATTGATAAATGAATGAATGGATGGATGGATGGATGAATGATGAATTGATTGATGGATGAATGAATGGATGGATGGATGGATGGATGAATGATGAATTGATTGATGGATGAATGAATGAATGGATGGATGGATGGATGATTGATGGATAGAAGGATGGATGGATGGCTAGATAGATGATCAATGGATGTATGTATGGATTAGTTGATGTGTATATTCAGTGAATGCAGCAGTGTTGTTGTTGTTGTTGTATAGATGTGTGTATGATTGTTAAAGGCTGTGTTTACATATGTCTGTGTGTAAAAATGAAGAGAACAGAGGCGTTGGGGCAGAATAATGATAATAATAGGGTAAAGGTCAGATGAGTTGCAGATCTGCTTACAGTATCTGTCAGTGTAAATTTGCTTGCACTGCAGCGTCTCTCAGGCTTTCAGGCTGCAGCGTCTCGAGCACTGACCGAGCGCGTGTGATAGAAGTAAAGCCCTCAGTTCAGCGCATGTTTTTTTAATGCGCTCTCATTGAAATTTCAGCAGATGCCTCTGAGGAAGACCTACTACTGTTCAGAGCCTTTCCATTTATAGATTACAACTTGAAGACTCCGAGACTTAGAAATGACTTTTAACTTCTTGAAGAGGGAAAGACGTCAGCAGCGTGCGCGAGTGTGTGTGTGTGTGTGTGTGTGTGTGTGTGTGTGTGTGTGTTCTTCTGAAAATAATGTACAGAGGATTTTGATGCTGGATCTCTGACTCAGATGGAGCAGATGAAAATGAGAGGGAACGATATCAATAAAATAATATCAATCAAACCCCTTTGGCTCTGATCAAGCGGCAAACGGATATGAGAGACGTGAGCTCTCGGTTTATTTAGCACGACAACTTGAAGTGACAATAAAAAACGAACTGAAATAAGCAAAGAATTGTACACTGAGAGCTGTGTACTTCAGACTGACTCCAATCGACACACTAGACAAGCTCATTTCTTTAGTGATGAAGTCAAGCAAGGCGGCACAGTGGCTCAGTGGTTAGCACTGTCGCCTCACAGCAAGAAGGTCACTGATTCGAGTCCTGGCTTGGTCAGTTGGCGTCTGTGTGGAGTTTGCATGTTCTCGTGTTGGCGTGGGTTTCCTCCGGGTGTTCGGGTTTCCCCCACAGTCCAAACACATGCGCTATAGGGCAATTGGGTGTTCTGAATTACGGCTGGAAGAGCATCCGCTGTATAAAACATGCCAGAGTAGTTGGTGGTTCATTCTGCTGTGGCGA